CAATTCCCCAGTAGGGCGCCTGCAGGAGGCAGCCAATCCATGATTCTCTCTCATCATTGATGTTTCTATCTCTCTCTCCCTCTCCCTTTCTCTCTGAAATCAATAAAAAATATATTTTTAGCCGGAACCGGTTTGGCTCAGTGGATAGAGCGTCGGCCTGTGGACTGAAGGGTCCCAGGTTCGATTCCGGTCAAGGGCATATACCTGGGTTGCGGGCACATCCCCAGTGGGAGATGTGCAGGAGGTGGCTGATCGATGTTTCTCTCTCATCGATGTTTCTAACTCTCTATCTCTCTCCCTTCCTCTCTGTAAAAAATCAATAAAATATATTTAAAAATATATATATATATATATTTTTTTAAAGAAAGAAAACATTCACAATAGCCAAGAAGTTCAAGCATCCCACACGTCCATGGACGGATGAATGAATAATGTGGTCCATACAGGGGTGGGCAAAAGTAGGTTTACAGTTGTGAGTCCATGAAACAGATTTTTCTTGCATTGCTATTTATCAATTATTGTATTATTTGCCATATGAACCACTGTAAACCTACTTTTGCCCACCCCTGTACATACAATGGAATGTTGTTATTCAGCCTTAAAAAGGAATGAAATTCTGACACGTGCTGCAACGTGTGTGAATCTTGAGGCTATTTTGCTACGTGAAATAACCCAGTTACAAAAAGACAAATACTGTACAATTCCACTTACATGAGGTACCCAGAGTACTCAGTTCATCGAGGCAGAAGGTAGAATAGAGGTTGCCAGCACCGGGAAGGCCGGGAAAGAGCAAGAGGGCTATTTAGTAAGTTTCAGCTTTGCAAGGTGAAAACGTTTTCTAGGGGTGTTTACACAACAGTGCGACTGTACTTAACAGAATACACTTGACACCATGGGACTGTATACTTAGAAATGGTTGAGATAGCAAATTTTATGTGTCTTTTACCACAATAAAAAAAAAAAAAAAAGACAAAACGGAATGTCTATTATCTTCCAATGAGACTAGCAGCCTGGACACGCAGGTTGCCAGAAGAGCCCGTGGACTCGAGGCCGGGGATAGGAACTGGGGCTGAGGGACCCGCGTCTGGCAGGTCATGGTGGGGCGGGGGGCGGCCGTCCCCTTTCCCCTGCGTGGGAGAGGCTCCCCCCGCGGAGCTGGGGGGCCTGCAGTCCGTCGCCATGTGACTGCACGTTAAGGAGATTCAGGCTGAGACGTGCGGATCGCCATTCCCGAAGCCAACCCGTGACACCAGAATTACGTCCCCCACCTTGTGAATCATCCGGTCTGAGTCACTGCATCGTCTTGACTCAAACTGAAAGTGCTTCCTGCGTGACTTTTTTTTTAATGATTCAGATTGCCTTCTGCTTTTGTGCATAAATAAATAGGATTACTGGGTTGGATTGATGGAAGGGAAGATATATGTAAAGCCAATGAGTTCATCAAGATAGCAGCGTGGCCCTGACCGGTTTGGCTCAGTGGATAGAGCGTCGGCCTGCGGACTGGAGGGTCCCGGGTTCGAATCTGGTCAAGGGCATGTACCTTGGTTGCGGACACATCCCCAGTAGGGGGTGTGCGAGAGGCAGCTGATCGATGTTTCTAACTCTCTATCCCCTCTCTCTCCCTCCCTGTAAAAAAATCAATGAAATATATTTTTAAAAAAAGATATCAGTGTGTGGTTGATCAGTGAGAATCGTGGTTTACATGATAGGATAAGACAGGTGTGTTTAGGGAGCAGGCATAGGCTAGAAGAGGTCAATGGGTGAGAAAGGGGGTTTCTGCAATACTTTCCACAATAAAGATAAACTAAAAAATAAAGTCTCAGAATTAAAGAGGGAAAAAGAAGGTGTTTCCATTCATTTTGTATTATGTTAAATGGTACTTGTGCAAGTGAAACATTCCCCTAAAATCCTTGCACTTTTTAAACTGGAGAATGTCAAGGTTTTTTCAAGATTAATAGAATGAATCATTCTGTGCCAGCTTCAACAATTACTGCCTCCTGGCCAATTTTGCCTTATCTATGATCCCCACCAACTGCTTGCCCTTTTTAGTACACAATTTTTACAGGCAGCACAACATGATGGAACTATTCCAAAATAGGATTATACTTGTTTAATAAAAAGCCTTCTGTAACTGTGAAAACATGCACCCTCATGAAGAAATATAAATAGGCATAAAAGAAAAGAGGAGGAGCAAATGTGGTCGCCAGTGACTTCCTAACGCTCTCAGAATATTGCAAAGTTGCGCAACATGGCCCATGTCCTAGGCGGGCCTCCCTCCCCCTACCCACCCCTCCCAGCAGCCCTCTCCCAGCCTCTCCCTGTGCAGCACCCTCCCCACCCAACCCTCCTCCTCCATCTTCACCCTCCCTGTTTCTATCCCTTCCTTCCCTGACTCCCTAGAGCAGATGGGTCATCTGCTCCCAGCGACAGCATTTGCATGTAACTGTGCCGGCTGGATGGCCCGCCAGCCTCCTGAGGAAGCGGTCGGATCCTCTTGTACCCCCACAGCCAGCACCGGGGTTCCGTCAACATTCCTTGAAGGACTCTCACCGCCCAGGGAGCACCAGCACTTCGTGTGGTGACCGCTCATCCCTTCAGAGGGAGTGGGTGGGGCGAGGTCTGCCTACCATAACTAAAGCACAATTTGAGGATGTCCAGGAAATCTGTTAAGGGAAGCAGCAGGAGAAAACCCCAGTTATTCACGCAGAGCCCGTGCGGGCCGATGGAGCTGGAGGGGAAGCGGTTGGGTTCTGATCTAGGATCATTGAGTATCAGGAACTGGTTGTGTCCCTCCCTTGGCGACCCATCTCCTTTGTGGCTGCTGTTACGTGAGCAGCGCTGGGCCCTGGCTGCCTCGGGCCACCCATGGGAGCACCGGGACAAGCCTGTATGGGCTCGGGCTCAGGCTCCAGCCCCTTCCCACGCTGACAGGAAGGGAGGCCCATCTCCCTTCCAGGGTGAGTGGACCAGGCCCCTACCCCGTGTAGCGTGAGGGCACCTGGCCCGGGAAAGGGGTCGGAGAGAGAGACTCACCCTGGTAGTCACCAGAGGGGCCGCATGGGCAGCGCAAAGAGCCCCAGCTTTGGAGCCAGGCAGACCCAGGCTCCTGGAGCCTCTGTCCTTTCCAACACGCGCCCCAGTGGCCTCACCTGCTAACAGGGGAGAACACCTTCAGCGTCATTAGGGTGAGAAAGGGCATCCTGGTGGTAAGGCCCCCGGTGGAGGGGCCACAAATGGTAGCCATTCTCTTCAGCTAATTTTCCAGGCACATCTCTACCAAAAAGGGTTCTGTGGGTTCCTGGGTAACCCGTGGGGCCAGGGGTGCAGCTGTTCGCTTCACTGAAGCATCCCTGGTTAAATGTGTCATGATTTTACTGAAAATAAACTTGGTTTCACTCATGTTTCGGACTGTCACCTCCGGCTGTTGGTATGAAATAGGACAAGGCTGAGGTATTGTTGCTGTTACTTGGTTTTGTTGTGTTTTTTAAGCGACATAAATGTGCAGAAGACAGGCACTTCCCCAAAGAAACTGGGGGTTGGTCAGCATTTGAAGGATGGGGCCGGGCTCGCTACCATTGCCCAGGACTGTCCAAGCCAGCGGTCGCCAACCTTTCGGACCTCACCGGCCACCAGTGGTCTGTGGACCACCAGTTGGCGACCGCTGGTCTCAGCAACAGGGCGCACAGCCTGCCCACCTGGCCTCCATCCTGCCCGGGGCTGCCCCGGGGCACAGCAGTTTCAGGCAAACAGCGCACCTCTGCGGCTGCGGGATCTCGGTTTCCTGCCTCCTGTCCGGCCTCCTCGCAGACATGGGGAAGGTGTGGTCTCTGTGCCTCAGTCAGTAAGGAAAATGCTTTCCTCCGTGCCCGTTCCAATAACTGAGTGTTCCTCACCATCAAGAACCGCCATCTGCCGAAACCGGTTTGGCTCAGTGGATAGAGCGTCGGCCTGCGGACTGAAAGGTCCCGGGTTCGATTCCGGTCAAGGGCATGTGCCTGGGTTGCGGGCACAACCCCTGTGGGAGGTGTGCAGGAGGCGGCTGATCGATGTTTCTCTCTCATCCATCGATGTTTCTAACTCTCTATCTCTCTCCCTTCCTCTCTGTAAAAAAATTAATAAATTAAAAAAAAAAAAAAAAAAACGCCATCTGCTCTCCCCAACTCCCCTGGAAACAGCATGGTCACCATGTCGTCCTAACAGCGATGCTGTGGGGAAGAGGGGGGCCCCTCCTCCACTTCCTGCTCCTCACGCCCACTCCGGCGCCCCTCTGCGTGCCCGTGCCCGCACAGCCCGGCCACCACGGGGGACATGTTTCCTGTTCCCGTTCTGCAAGACAGGGACCAACCTCGAAAAAGATTCTCACGGAGACAGTGTGGGCTTTCCTCTCCCGGGTGGGGTTGGGGGGCGCACAGAGGGCCCCCCACTTCAACTTTCAGTCTGAGTTACGGTGTCGACGCTTCCGGGCAGTTTCTCCCCCGAGCCCTGAGCTGTTGGCACGGCTCCTCTTATCACGAAGCGCCCCCTCGATGGCTTTCCTGTCTAGAACTGGTCGGTGGGAGGCTGTGGCCCACGAACGCCCTGAGGCCCTTCCCAGCAGGGAACTCTTCATGTGCCCGAGGGTCAGGACGCAGCGTTGCCTGTGATGCCGCTAACACCCCGTCCAATAAACAGTCTTCTGGTGAATAATGGCCCTTCCTGTCCCGCCCGCCCAGCAGCTGGGAGTGCCGGTGAGCATGGCACCCACGCCCCTTCCAGAAACCCCAGGACTCATTTTGGGAAACACTTTCATAACTAGTGTCTTTCGAGAAACTGCTATTTATTTCTTTAAACTAATCTGATCTTTTCCAGATGTGATTTCATCCTGCATGAAGGGGAGGCCCGCCCCAAAAGGGTTCCACTTTCATTTTAAACCCGCCCTCTCTCACTCCTGTCCCCTCACTCATCAGGCCAAGCTTTCCTTTCAAGGACTCAGGTGCCCAACGCACAATTACATCCCAAGCACAGTTTTAGAAATCATTTATTTCAAACACAATTTTCACTTTAAATGCAAAATAGCTGATAAACACACACACACACACACACACATTGAAATACATATAATACTGACCCTTTGCCCCATATACAGACATCAGCCTTTGTGGTATTTGCTTTTAGCTAATTAAGTAAAAAAATAAAAACTTAAAACTATTATTCTCATCTCCAAAAGAAAAGTTGAGGTATTTAACAGTTGTGTGATTGCCACCCAAAGATGGTTTCTCTATTAATTAACAGCCTTGCTACATGCTGTTCCAATCCATTCCTTCTAAAACAGATCTTGGTTTGAGCATATGTTCATAAAACTGACAATGTTCCTTAATAATCATTAAGGCTGCAAAATAATATTGAATGCCAGCCGAAATTGAAAAAAATAAAATAAAAATTAGCAAATACAAAAATCATTAAGGTTGCCATAGAAACACACCTGCGCTAGCACCCAAGCGCACATGATGCTGGCAGGACCCGAGCCAGGAGGCCTTCCGGTCACAGCCCGGCCGCCCACATGGGGCTCCATCCTCATGGTCTGAAAGACCAACAGTTGCCCCTGCTTCTCCAAATTAAGGTAAATTTCTCACTAACTCCACCTGGAGCTGGATGCCAGCTTCCTCCCCAGCGGAGTCAACCTTAGCGGGGGCAATATAGCTCAGCACCCAGCAGCAGGGCAAGACATTCCTGGACGTTCTGCAGGAGACCCACACACCACGATCACACCCGCCCGCTCCCCTGGGCTCTGTTCGCCACCAGGTGGACTCCCGCCCCAGTCGCAGCAGCAGATTCCACATATGATGAGGGTGTTTCCTGCCCCCACCGTCTCTCCCCAGGAGAGCAGGGACATCAACACAGAGTGAGCCCAGAGCCTGGCAGAAAACGAGCCCGGCCTGGGCCCCATCCGAGCAAAGGGCTCTCTGAGTTACCAATGGCTTCGTAGACACAGCCAATGCTACCCCCTTGACATCTGAACCAATAGTTTCTTAATGCTACAAGAATTAATGACCACTTTAGACCTTGAACCCGCATATTTGTAACGTTTCCAGCCCAGAAGGATAAGCTGTCATGTGTAATATCGACTGTCAGCGTGCCAACCTTTCGCATCTGGCCGTGGCAGATTGCTGCGGGTATTGGGTGAGGGGCATCATCGTTGAGGATAAAAGGCAGCACGTGAGCTGCAGAAACACAGGTGAGAATGATCAGTGGGTTGAAAATACAGGGTCACGGACCACAGATCCGAGGTCAGAGAAAGCTTAGGGTGTACACCTGTGTCCACTGAGCAACGTCCACAACCCAGAGAAGACAAACACTTTTCCTTCATGTACACTAGCTTATAAAGATGTAAAGGGGGGGAAAAAAAAACAACCCTCTTCAATTAATAAAACAAAAAGCAGTTCCGTTACAATAATAACGAAAGCAATAACAATTTGGAGATGAAAGCCGCCTCGCTCTCGGTAATCATGAGCTATCTGACTTCACATCTTCCACTAGCACGTCTCCTCCGGCTTTGGTAACAGTGCTTGTGGTTAAAACCTTTACAAAGAGTTAAAGAACCGTGGGCAGAATCACCCTTTCTCAGGCAGTCTCTCTCTTTTTTTAAAAAAATATTTCCCTTTAACAGCATTTTTGCTGTCCTCAAAGAAACACACACACACACACACACACACACACCTGCCTGCCTTCCGTCAAACTTACGAGAGTTGTCTAAGGCAGCAATGGGGTCTGAAACGTGAGTCAAAGCCAGCAATGAAAATCACCCCTTGCCCAACATAGTAACAGTGTGAACCCAGCAAACCGCAAGTACAAGGCATGGTCATGGTCACCCTTTGCCACCTGCCTGGTGCTGGTGGCTGTTTTTCCGAAAGGGCCGGCTCCTAGAAAAGGCTGTGGTCTGGTAAAATGTTTGGTCCTCGGTTACCCAACAGATTTGAATCACAGCCTCATTCCGGGACACCCCGTGCTGCTGGAGGGCACTTGTCTGGGGGACCCCTCTCATCACTGAACTTTCAAAGCCCGGACAGAAAAGTGAGCTGAAGTGGGAGAGTCTCAGAATCACGGCTAGACATTGAGCTGAACTGAATCACATTCAAGGAACTAAAGAAGAAGAGGAAGGCATGGGTTGGTGGGGGGGGGGGAGGCAGGGGGCCATGAACCCTCCTGCCCCCGGATAACCAGGGCTCCTGGCTGTCAGGGGTGGGGGTTTGGCAACTGACCTTGCTTGGTAGCCGTGGGAGGCCACTTCCCAACACCAGCCCGGAAGCTGGACACCAGGGCCTTCCCCACCGCTGGGGGGAGCAGTCCCAAGCTGCTCTTCCCTTAAATTAGAGAAGCAGGCAATTTCACTTTTAAGACAAAAACAAAATTTAGAATGAAACCAGAGTCTCTTCTCTAAGGGGAAAATCATTCTTTTTTTCTCCTCCTCTTTCCCATCTGACTCAGTTTTGTGCCAAACAGAGGACGGCTTCTCCCCGAGCTATTTACCTACAGACCCCCAGCTAGCACGGACCTTCCAGGCTCTCAGGGAAAAGCGATCAGCACCCCTTTAAAGACCAAATTAACATACATTCTTGCCGGGTTCTTCTGTCTTTTCACATGAATATGTTCCCTCCTCAGTACTCAGGCTCAGGTGAAAACTAAATTAACATTTTGAGTCCAACAGTTCGGTCTCCCCGCAATGGCGGGAGCCCTCCCCCAATGCCGTCCTCCTTTTGGGGGCCGGGGGGGGGGCAAAGGAGGGAGGAGAATAGTGGTTTTCAGAGCCTGTCCCCACGCCCCTACTTCCTCTCTGCTTCTCTCCTCCTGAAGCCCTGGGATCCAGAGAGGGAAACTGAGTCAGTGCAGTGGCTTCTGGGTTCAGCAGGTGCTGAGGGTTAACATTCACATTGAGCAGAATGCTGCTAACGAGGAGCTCACTGCAACTCCACTTCAAACCACCTGGTCCTGAGATGCTCTTCTCGCCCCTGCCGCTGTATCCAGCGTGGGGAGGAGAGGAAAGGCAGTCGGGAGCTCCCCCAGCCGGGGCGACCGAAGAAACTGAATTGCAAAGGCACTTGGGCCGCAAGAGTTTGAGCTAGAAGGTGAAACTGTGCAGTGGGGCAGGAGACAGGCGACTCGAGGTGGGGGGTGTCTTTGGCTGGAATCCATCCCACCTCCTGAGGGTGCGGCGTGTGGAGCCAGGTCAGGTGAGCCGGGGGCCTGCAGCTTGTCCACACGAAGCCCAGGGTCCGAGGCCTCCGCAGACGCCCGGCTCTGCCCACCCGAGTGTCCAGTGGACTCGACAGTGCTCCCTGCACGGGGCCCGCGTTCATTGGAACCCCTGCAGGCAGGGCGGTGGGGAAGAGGGGTCCAAAAACTCAACCACCTCTTCCTTCGGAACAGGCCAGCACACCTGTGCTCACCCAGCATAGAACCTGCTGTGAGGCCCCGCGGTGACAGCGCAGCCAGAGGCCCACACACCTGAGATGAGCTGAGACGACGGTGAGAAGCTGCTTGTCACACCGTCACACATTTCAGCAGGTCTGACACCCCAGCCGGCCAGGCGCCAGGCAGCCAGCCAGCTACTGGGGGAAGAAGTAGTCTCTGTTGCTGATGTCATACGGGCTCTGTGGGCCGCTGGCATGGGGTTGGCTGTGCCTCGAGGTGTTATCCGACCCCAGGCTGCTGGGGGACACCGGCGGGGAGATGAGGGGGACCAGCACCGGGGTGGGCTTCGGCCTCTCGGGGACCAGCTGTCCCAAAGAATACGGTGGGTGCATGCTCGTCCTGCCTTCTTTCAGGGCCTGCAGCTTCCACGTCTTCCTGAACCTTCAGAGACACAGAGACAAACCACACAGATGTTCAGTCCCCCCCGTGAGGCACCTGAGTGAAAAACACCGACAGCTGGCCGCCCTGCGGGCCTGGCCGTCCCGGCTGCGGCTCAGAAGAGGGACAACTACTGATTCCCTCACCTGTTCTTACCACCAGGCATTACACACCACTCTGAGGAGCTGGGGGTCTCGAAAACACCCCCAGAGAATGGATCGGTATTGTTGACACGTTACAGATGGAGAAACGGAGGCACATGTGGCCATGAATGTCCCTCTACCGCACTGAGAGCTTCATCTGTCCTGTCCCGGAGGCTGCCCAGAGGACACATCCTCAGCCCCACTCCATTTGCTTAAGAGAGACGGGGAGCGCATTCTCCCAGTGGGGGAGGAAATGGGCCGCTCAGTGAAATGAAGGCTGGCAGGAGGCAGATCAACTGCCATGGAACAGCAGGAGAAGGGCCACCTGCTCCCTGAACAGCCCTGCTGCTCCTCCTGCTGCCCACATCCCCGTCCTCCCAGTTCTCTGTATACCTCCGGGCCCACTCCCACCACCCTGGTGAGTCCTCAGAGCCTCGGCCGTGGGCACCACGCGGGCACAAGTGACTCATCTGACAGGAAAGTCGATGTTAAACAGGAAGGAGATAGGCATCTCTCTGATCACAGCTTCGTTCAGCTGCTCCCTCTGGGCCCCGAGCCATGGCTCAGTAGCTGAGAGAAGTCACCTGACAGCCCGAAGAGAGATGAGGTGGTGATAGCGATCTTCAAAGGCACAGTCAGGTCTCCTTCCTGAAGACTGCAGGGCAGCTCATGCCCTCCCTCCTGCTTCCCGCTCCGTCCCTCAGTCCCTTACTAACTTACTGCCGCCCCGCCCCGCCCCGCCCCGCCCCACAGTGAGAGCAAGGTGGTCTCCCTCAGTCCCACCGATGTCAGCTCCTCCAGGATGGGCTGGGAGGCAGGAGGGGAAACCAAAGTCAAAAACAAGGCTTGGGCCCTAACCGGTTGGGCTCAGTGGATAGAGCGTCAGCCTGCGGACTCAAGGGTCCCGGGTTCAATTCCGGTCGGGGCTGTGTGCCTTGGTTGCGGGCACATCCCCAGTGGGAAGTGTGCAGGAGGCAGCTGATCGATGTTTCTCTCTCATTGATGTTTCTAACTCTCTCTCTCCCTTCCTCTCTGTAAAAAATCAATAAAATATATTTTAAAAAAAAAAACAACAAGGCTTGGAGCCCTAAGCGGGTGTGGCTCAGTGGATAGAGCATCCGCCTGCAGACTGAAGGGTCCCAGGTTTGATTCCGGCCAAGGGCACATGCCTGGGTTGGGGGCTTAATCCCCAGTAGGGGGCGTGCAGAAAGCAGCCGATCAATGATTCTCTCTCTCATCATTGATGTTTCTCTCTCTCTCTCTCCATATCTCACTTTCTCTCTGAAATCAATAAAAATATTTATTATTAAGGTATTTCAAGAATTTTCTAGAAACCACCGATAAACTTAATGAGACCCTCAAGAAATCTAATGAGACCCTCGAGGTTGTGATAAAGGACCAACTAGAAATTAAGCATACACTGACTGAAATAAAGAATATTATACAGACTCCCAACAGCAGACTAGAGGATCGGAAGAATCAAGTCAACGATTTGAAATACAAAGAAGCAAAAATACCCAACTGGAAAAGCAAAATGAAAAAGAATCCAAAAATACGAAGATAGTGTAAGAAGCCTCTGGGGCAGCTTCAAGCGTACCAACATCAGAATTATAGGGGTGCCAGAAGATGAGAGAGAGCAAGATATTGAAAACCTATTTGAAGAAATAATGACAGAAAACTTCCCCTACCTAGTCAAAGAAATAGACTTACAAGTCCAGGAAGTGCAGAAAACCCCAAACAAAAGGAATCCAAAGAGGACCACACCAAGACACATCATAATTAAAATGCCAAGAGCAAAAGACAGAGAGAGAATCTTAAAAGCAGCAAAAGAAAGAAACTCAGTTACCTACAAGGGAGTACCCATACGACTGTCAGCTGATTTCTCAACAGAAACTTTGCAGGCCAGAAGAGAGTGGCAAGAAATATTCAAAGTGATGAATACCAAGAACCTACAACCAAGATTACTTTATCCAGCAAAGCTATCATTCAGAATTGAAGGTCAGATAAAGAGCTTCACAGGTAAGAAAAAGCTGAAGGAGTTCATCACCACCAAACCAGGATTATATGAAATGCTGAAAGGTATCCTTTAAGAAGAGGAAGAAGAAGAAAAAGGTAAAGATAAAACTATGAACAACAAATACACATCTATCAACAAGTAAATCTAAAAATCAAGTGAATAAATAATCTGATGAACAGAATAAACTGGTGATTATAATAGAATCAGGGGCATAAAAGGGAGTGGACTGACTATTCTTGGGGGGGAAAGGGGTGTGGGGGATGCGGGAAGAGACTGGACAAAAATCATGTACCTATGGATGAGGACAGTGCGGGGGGGAGGGGGGGGAGGGCGGAGGGGGGCGGGGAACGGGTGGAGGGGAGCTACAGGGGGAAAAGAGGAACAACTGTAATCTGAACAATAAAGATTTAATTTTAAATAAATAAATAAATAAATAAATAAATAAAATAAGCCCTGACCGGTTTGGCTCAGTGGATAGAGCGTTGGCCTGCGGACTCAAGGGTCCCAGGTTCGATTCTAGTCAAGGGCATGTACCTGGGATGCGGGCACATCCCCAGTAGGGGGCGTGCAGGAGGCAGCTGATCCATGTCTCTCTCTCATCGATGTTTTTAACTTTCTATCCCACTCCCTTCCTCTCTGTAAAAAAATCAATAAAATATATTTTAAAAAAAATAAAAATAGCCCTAACTGGTTTGGCTCAGTGGATAGAGCGTCAGCCTGGAGACTGAAAGGTCCCAGGTTCGATTCTAGTCAAGGGCATGTACCTTGGTTGTGGGCACATCCCCAGTGGGAGGTGTGCAGGAGGCGGCTATCCATGTTTCTCTCCCATCGATGTTTCTGGCTCTCTAGCCCCTCTCCCTTCCTCTCTGTAGAAATATCAATAAAATAGCCGAACCGGTTTGGCTCAGTGGACAGAGCGTCGGCCTGCGGACTGAAGGGTCCCAGGTTCGATTCTGGTCAGGGGCATGTACCTTGGTTGCGGGCACATCCCCGCTGGGGGGCGTGCAGGAGGCAGCTGATCGATCTCTCCCATCAATGTTTCTAACTCTCTATCCCTCTCCCTTCTTCTCTGTAAAAAATCAATAAAATATATTTTTTTAAAAAATCAATAAAATATATTTTAAAAAATAAATAAATAAATAAAAATAAAAAATAAAATAAAATAAACAAACAAGGCTTGGGGATTTTCCTTGGGTTTCTCTTTATATCGACAGGCTATTCCTGTCCTTGTTGTGATAAATAATTGATAGTTGGCTCCAAATCTGCACTGGCTCTTAGCCTTTTTTCCAAGTGGAATAAGAAAGCGATAGAATATTCCTGAGGGCTCCGCCAGGCAGGCCCGAGGCAGCACGGAGCGCAGGAGGGTCTCACTGGAGCTGTGCCGGGTCCTTGGACGGCATTCTCTGCCTGTCTGAGAAGACGGAGGACAAAATCATCCCGCTCGGACTCCAAAGTGTTCGGACGCTCTGGCCCAGGAATTCCACTTCTGGGAACGCGCCTGAAGGAGACAGCCTAGCTATGGACAACACTGTACGCACAAAGGGTGTCCACACTGCTTTCCATCGAAGCAGAACCACCGCCCCAGGGCCCAGTGGGAGGAGGCTGGCTAAGGGAACGGGGAACATGTCCCTGACGGAGGAGTCTGCAGCTAAAGAAAGGGAGGCTCACAAAGAATGTGCAATAAGGTGACAAACGCGTACGTTATAATTAATCCTGCATTTAAAAGGCAGGAATCAGAGTGACAGATACAGAAAAATCAAGGCCACAGAAAAGCCAAACAAGACATTATGCAGAGGAAAAGGACGCAGAGGAAATTCATTCTCTATGAAGTGTTCTTGATCGGGGTACTGATTGCACGGGTGTGTTCACCTTGGGATAATTCACGTCCAGTTATGACGTGTGCACTTTTCTGTTTGTTTGTTAGACTTCTAGCACGTTTACATTTAAAAAATGAACAGTGGTTCCTGGCCAGTGTGGCTCCATGGTTGAGCATCGACCTATGAACCAAAAGGTCACGGTTTGATTCATGGTCAGGGCACATGTCTGGGTTGCGGGCTCGATCCCCAGTAGGGGGTGTGCAGGAGGCAGCTGATCAATAATTCTCTCTCGTCATTGATGTTTCTATCTCTCTCTCCCTCTCCCTTCCTCTCGGAAATCAATAAAGATATACATTTTTAAAATAAAATAAAAATTAACAGCGGTTAATGGATTAATTGTATTTCTATATAATGAGTGTATTCCCAATAAAAAGGAAAGAACTAAAAAAAAAAAATTAATGGTGGCTGTCTTTGCATAATGTAGATTTTTTCCTTTTTTCTGTTTGTCAATATTTAGCAAATTGCCAGTATTTAGCAAATAAGCATATATCACAATGTTTTAAAATCTCTATTGAAGTTATTTAACACGTTAAGCGCCCAACCTGTTTTGTCCTCCGGACGGAAAGTACAGTGTCAGTCACCGGTGACTGACTAGGCGCTTAATGTGTTAACCAATACAAAAAGCAGTCTACATCCTCAGCAACTGAATGGGTAACTGGGAAAAATGGGCTTTCCTTCTTTTGAAATATTTTGAGGCATGAATGAGACACTTTCTAAAAATCACTGCGCTCAAAGGGGCTTTAATAACAGCCAGCCTGAGGGTGCCCACACCTGACATGGGCCTGCCCTGGGCAGGGGTCTGAGCAGGGCCTGGAGCTAGAGCGGGCGTGGGGCCGAGAGGAGATAAAAGCCCAGCTGTCAGACCCCACTTGCACCTCAGCCTCTGCCTTCTATCGAGGTTACGTCTTTGAGCGTCAGAATGTTTGCTTAAAGAAAAGGTTCTACAGCTCAAAGGTCTTAAAACATTCATAATAACTCTCACTCTTCTTAGAAAATGAGAAACCAAGACTCAGGGAGAGGAAGTGACCCCACCCGCCAGGGCCCCGAGGGTACCCACAGCACCCAGCCACTCCACCGCCCGGGATGCCCTGAGAGTCCCTCTGGCCCTGCCATGAAGGTGAGAGAGTCTGTGATTTTTAAATATTGGAATGAGACTACATTCAATGCAAAATTCTCTGAATCATTGGCATATACACATAGGAAGTCCTCTCCTAACAGTGCCGGCCCATTCTAGATAAATGTGCCGGGAAAGAATTCTCTGCTAGGAGAATCCCCAGCGCAGCGCGGCATACGATGAAGAGAGGAAAGCGGGGGGGCCTGGGGAGTAGGGTGGGGAGAACTGGGCCCTGTAAGGCATGGCATCCACTGAAGAAGATGGCCCATCTTTCCGGATGGCACACTTGAAGTCTTAAAAATTATCACTGATATTCGTGGAAAATATTTAGGAAAAGACTTTGCCTGAAATGCCAAATAAAAGTGTTAAAAAGAAAAATAGGGTACCATGGACGGTAAGGATGTACTTCAACCTGCCTCTCACATCCTGCCTGTTGTAATGTGGCCACCCCAGGTCCTGGGCCTCAGCCATTCTGGCAGCTCTGACGCGAGGGACTTGGAGACCAGAGGGGTTTTCATCACTTGAAATAACTGGCCTCTTTTCAAATAAATTTGCCTTATACGGGCGAGAATGGAAGCTCGCCAGGCTAGGAAATAAATTACTGGTACGTTTCCAGCACAGGGTACTGAGCCCTCCAGGGGCCCTGGTTGGGTAGCAACCAGCTCGTGTACAAGCACCGTCAGCACATTAGCTAACTAGGTCTGCGATGCGATGCGCGCTGTGGCCGGTTCCCAGCCTAACGCTCCCTGTCAGTGATCAACAGCCCACCAGGATGGCACTGCTTGTAAATGGAGCCAATGGTGGGCTGACGGGACCAACTGGGTCCACCGCTTAGCTGACAGCTGGCTAGCGTGGTTGGCTGCGACTCTCAGGATGTGGGTTCTAGTCCTGGCTCTGCTAATAACAAACTGTGTCTTAGGCAAGTCACCTCACCTCTTGGGGCTGTTTCCTCAGATGTAAAATTAAAGATTTTGACTAAATGACCTCCAATACCCTATCCATAGAGCAAGAGCTTTGGGTTTAAACCTTGGCCTTGCCATTGCTGGCTGGGATCACTCCACCTCTGTTTTAATCTCCTCACCTGTCAAGTGGAAATCATATTTACTCTATGGCAGTGGTTTTCAACCTTCTGGCCCTTTAAATACAGTTCTTCATGTTGCGACCCAACCATAAAATTATTATTTTTTTTTTTAATATTTTTTTATTGATTTTTTACAGAGAGGAAGGGAGAGAGATAGAGAGTTAGAAACATCGATGAGAGAGAATCATCGATCAGCTGCCTCCTGCACATCTCCTACTGGGGATGTGCCCGCAACCCAGGTACATGCCCTTGACCGGAATCGAACCTGGGACCTCTCAGTCCGCAGGCCGACGCTCTATCCACTGAGCCAAACCGGTTTCGGCCATAAAATTATTTTCGTTGCTACTTCACAACTGTAATGTTGCTACTGTTATGACTTGTAATGTAAATATCTGATATGCAGGATGGTCTGAGGCCACCCCTGTGAAAGGGTCGTTCGATCCTCAAAGGGGTCGCGACCCACAGGTTGAGAACCGCTGCTCTATGGGGTCTGTGATAGGTTAAGAGAAAGGCCTGTGGAAGCTCTAATGATATAGAAACAGAACACAGAAGTATGTGCCTGAGGGCAAGGAATCCCTTAGAAGGCTGTAGAAGACCCCTGACTGCTGGGATAGCCCCTCTCTGGCCCCAAAGTAAAAGACAGTGAGTTCTCAAGCTTCTCCAAGGAGCTACCTCCACTCACTGGGAACTTCCTCTTTTGCACACCCTTTGGCCAATTTGCTTACCACTTCACTGGAAAATCAAAGTGGAAACAACCCCGAACACACTGAGTTGTCATCTTGCTCCCCTTCCAACCCAGACCACCTTACAGTCAAGCTATGTCAGGGTCGCTGTGAGGACCCAATGAGCCGCCATCTCCCAACCACCAACTGGAGTCTCCTCAAAGTTACACGCAAAGTGAGAGAAAGGGGGACAGAGAAGTTTCTCCTCCGTCGCATCATCACTGTAATTAACCACCGTCCAAGCCAGGGCACAGCCTGGCGTCTTGTAGGGGCTCAGCACAGGCAGGAGCACAACTTCCTGCAGTGAAACCGTGAACATGGGAAGCTGTTTATTGCCATCACTGACAGCACTGTTGGCTGATTTTTCTGCAAGCTTGGGAGGGAACTGCAAAACCAGTGACCAAATAGAGAGAGACGGGGTGGATGGGCATGGTGCTACAGCGGCCAGGGTGCCCGTTCAGCCTGTCTCCTGACCATGGCCGGAGGGCAGCCCTAGCACCGAGCATTTAAAGGTGACCTGCTAGGTGTTGCTTGCGTTTTGGTTTTGTTTTTAAATATATTTTTATTGATTTCAGAGAAAGGAAGGGAGAGAGAGAGAAAGAGAGAAACATCAATGATGAGAGAATCATCAATCAGCTGCCTCCTGGCATGTCCCCCACTGGGGATCAAGCCCACAAGCCGGGCATGTGCCCTGACCGGGAATTGAACGGTGACCTCCTGGTTCATAGGTCGACGCTCAGTCACTGAGCCAAGCTGGCTGGGCTAGGTTTGCTTGTTTTGAGACATGGACTAGCCCCCGGAAGTCTGACCAGGTGCCTGAGATTGCCTGGGTACACACTGCTGTTCCTCACGCGCTACTTCAATCACCTTAGCATGTGGTTCAGGAGGAGGGGGTCGTACTCGCCGGCAATCCCAGAGCCTGAAGCTTTCTTCGGTGCCTCCCCCCCTCCCTCTGGTTTCCACACCGGGTTTTCCCGGTGCTTCTCCCTCTCAGGACACTCCTCAGGCCCTTCTTCTCACTCTTCCTCCTCTACACTTTCCCATGTCAGAACCCTGGGGTCCACAGGGCACTGCCACTGGCCCTATTCCTCTGACATGGCTCCAACTACCACCTGCACGCAGCTACGATCAGAACTGTCTACCCAATATGTCCACCTGGGGCTTTCACAGGCACCTCAGACTCAGGGGTCCCAAACCAGCATCATCGTTTTTCACTCCGTTATTCTCCCTCCAGTGTTTCCAATTTTAAATGCGTGACCCCCCCCCCCCCACCACCATCACCTAATCTGCCCAGTTGCCAAAGCCAGAAACATGAGGGTCAGCCTTGACTCCTCCGTCTCCCCTTCCTTCTCCTCATCTACTGTCATCGAGTCTTATCGATCCCACCTCTGAAATACATCATGAGCCATGTGCGGCTCTCCCACTCACTGCCCCCGTCCCAGCACAGGCGAAGCTAGGCAGATAAGAAATATGGCAACACCCAGGGCCACCCCCCAGGACCCCGCTCACCTCAGGACAATGCCAACGCAGAGGAGCGTTCCGAAGGCCAGGCTTCCTCCAGCCACCAGGAACGTGTACAGGGGTACTGGAGGCTCTTGCACTAGAGGGGAAAAGAGGAGGGGGAGCAGAAGGAAGAGAAAACAATAACCACTCAGCTGGTGCTATCAAAAGTCTCCAAGGAACCTCACCCTGGAGGAGGAAACAGCTCTGCTAACCAGCAGGCCTCTGGCCAGTGTTTTGGCCAAAGCCACGCTAGAAGAATCACTCCCAGCAGAGTCTGACAAACCCTGGGATTCTGCCACTTGGCAAGAGATACACCTCAAGCTCAGAGCTTCTGAGCACCTGTGGCCAGCCACAGGCTCCCACTCCCCTTCAGAGTGGCTTTTCTAGGGGTGCTCAGCCTGCCCCCATAAGGCACAGATGGGGGCAAGAAGCAGAAAGCTTTGGGGACCGCATCGATGGCAGCTCCATTGAGGACGATGCCAGGGAGGCCCAGGTGCTTTAAATCAAGTGTTTGGTTGGGTGCAGCGTTCTCCATGGTGCGTCATCTCTTGCCTGTCTCCCCACTTGGCATTCAAGCCCCAGCCATAGGATCTTCATTCGCTCTTCCATATGCCATGTTCTCCGCGCCCCCCCCGCCGACCCCGGGGCTCTCTGCACATGGTCTCACATCTCCCCCAGAACACGCTTCCCACCTTCCCTGCACCCCTTTTCTCTCCAGTCCTCCCCGGCCTTTGGGTCTCAGATGAGATGAGGACACTTCCTTTGAGCTGTGACCCCATTCCACGCTGGGTAAGTGCCAACTGTGAAATGGTTCGCTGATCTGTCTCATTATTCTTGTGGTCCTCTCGTAATACCTAAGCTAACAATATTATCCAACTTGGACATACAAGGTCATAAAAGAATGTTTCTGCCACTGGTCTTTTCCATGAAGCAGACTGGCACCCTGCCAACATTTCCAAATAAGAAAGCACTTTCTGCCCTGACTAGTTTGGCTCAGTGGATAGAGCGTCGGCCTGCGGCCTGCGGACTCAAGGGTCCCGGGTTCGATTCCAGTCAAGGGCATGTAACCTTGGTTGCGGGCACATCCCCGGTGGGGAGTGTGCAGGAGGCAGCTGATCGATGTTTCTCTCTCATTGATGTTTCTAACTCCCTATCCCTCTCCCTTCCTCTCTGTAAAAAATCAATAAAATATATTTTTAAAAAAAAAAGAAAGAAAGAAAGAAAGAAAGCAAGCAAGCACTTTCTACAGAGTTACAAGCCTTTGGTGCCCCCTTAGGCCACAGGAATACACAACAATCCAGGGCTCACCTGGGAAGCTTGTCGTATTGGCAGGATAGTTCGAGGAGATGTTGTCATCGTCTCCGTTGGTAGTAGGTGCCTGTAAAAGACATTCCACACTGTAAGCCCGTGTCTGTGGATTCCACCTTCATTCGGGACCCAGCTCAGGCACCTCCTCAACCCCCTCCCTGCCCCCCGACCCCCCACCACGCCTTTCCTTTATCTCATGCACCTCTCCAATTTTGACCTGTCACTTTCAACATCTGCAAGATTATCTGCATTATCTGCATCTACACCCCGCCTACTCAGGGTGGGGATTGCTTCCCATCTGCCACTCCACCAAGAGCTTACGCTGTCCTACGGGTCTGGTTCAAGGGCACAGGTACCATCCCTGACGAGGGAAATCACAGGCTGGAATCCTGGCTCTGTGACCACAACTAGCTCTGAGACCGTGGGCAGATTTCTCAACTCAGGTGGGTGTCAGCGTTCTCCCTGAATCTCAGTTCACGTCAGGATCAATGAGACGCAAGGCTCAGAGCCTGGGGCCTTGGCAGGCTCTCGGTCAGTCAGTGCCCCGACACGCTGTGCTGGGAGCGCTCTGGCCCAAGGGCCTGGACTTCACCCCGGAGTTGCTGGTCCTGGACAGTCCGCCACTGATGATGGGTGAGGTGCCGCCCAGCTCCGGGAGCGTGGAGCCTCCCCGCTGAGCGGGTGGGAATTGGGGACCACGGAGGAGTTGCCGCGGGGTGGGAAATTGGATTACTCGAGGATTTGTTTAAGCGGCTTCGGCGGTAATCCTCTTTCCAGATCATTATGACACCGGGAGTCCACAGGGAAGGGCTCAGAGAACTGCACCGGAGTCGCACGCTAAGCCTCCCGTGGGGTCCAGAAGCTCAGGGTGAAACTGCATCCGCTGACGGGGCAGCGCAGCTTTGTGAGCCAGCCCCACGCTGCTCTACGCTTCATAAAGGCCCCGGATCGAGAACTGCTGCTGCCCCGTCTTACAGAGCCTTCAGAAGGACACAGTTTGCCCACCGCCACACTGCCAGCAAGTGGCAGAGCTGGGACTGAAGCTACATTCTGTCTGGTGCCAGCCACATCGCTAGCCGGTAGGTGTTGACCCTTTGACAAGAACACGAACTCACCTTCATGGAAGACACCTCCGCCGTGGTCGCAGCTGAAAAACTCGTGGGTTCTGTGGATAGAAGACGTCTTATTAATGACTCATGGACCCTGAAGTCCTGTCTGATGGGCTGCAGAAGCCGAATAAAGTTCATCACAACGTTATTTAAAAGGGCATCAGGCTTCCCAGGCAGCGTGGCTCAGTAGTTACGTGGCAGCCTATGAACCAGGAGGTCACAGCTCCGTCCCCAGTCGGGGGCGTGCAGGAGGCAGTCCATTGGTGCCTCTCTTTCATCATTGATGTTTCTCTCTCTCTCCTTCTCCCTTCCTCTCTGAAGTAAAAATATATATATATATATAAATATATAAAGAATTTAACATAAAGAACAAGTTCTCTTCCTCCTGGGTGGACTTAGTACACTTTGCTCGAGGAGCGGCAGGGACCCAGGCCCCTCACGAGGCCCTTCCCCTCCATGGGAACAGTGTTTCTGCAGAAACCTCCTGGGCAGCAGGGGGCCAAGGATCAAAGTGGGCGTGTGACCTGAGGCCAGGCTCAGCAGCAAGCGTGGGCCCAAGGGACCAGGAACTGAAACAGGACTGGGTAGAATGTGTAGAATACTCTGAAATTTAAAAGTATTTTCTTTCCAGTTTATCATTTCTCCATCAAGAAGTTAAAAACACCAGGGAATGGTTTACACAAAGATGTGCAGCCTCCCTGAGCCAGGAGCAAAATAACTAGTAAGAGGTGGAGGCGAGCGTGCCATCCCCGGGAGAGAACACCACACACTGGAGGGGACAGACGAGCATGTTCACGCCTCCTTCCCATTGTGCAGAGAGGAAACAGGGGCCCAGAGAGGGAGAGCAACTTGTCCAAGGTCACACAGCAAGTGAGCCCCAAATCAACCAAGAATAAATGGGAAGGACCCTTATTCTCATTGCGCTGTGTTCCTCCCAGCTGAGCCCAGCAAAGGACAGAATCACAGCAGAAAGTGACTGAAGGACGGATGGAGGGTATGGGGGCGCTAGAATGAAAGCAAACACCAGGAGATGGGGCAGCGCTACTTAGGAAATATGGCTGACCATGGGTGGTCATTCAGTCCAGTGGTTCCCAAACCCAGCCATGCTCAGCCTTACCTGTGGCCTTTTAGGCTGCACCCTTGACCTATGGCCTCAGAATCTTGGGGATGGGACCAGACATCAGGGTTTTTAAAAGACTCCCCAAACCAGAGAGAGGTTTTAGGAAGAAAGGGAGACCTGTATAGTTTCTACCCTCAGCTCTGACCCCCATCATGGCATGTGGTCCAGAGAAGGGCGTTTAACCTTTGGTGACTCAGTTGCCCAGGGGCAAAGTGGGGGTTTTAGTTTGGTATTATTTCAAATAACCCAGGAATGTTACCAGAATGAATAAAAGTTTTCTAATACAGAATAAAACTGTCTTACATAACAAGACTTTTTAAACATCTCCCAAGATGACCATGGGGGCCCCTAATTCAGACCATTTTGTCCCCTGAGACGGAAAGTGGAGCAACTGTTACATCATTATTAATAATCATTTTCATTTTCCAGATGAAGAAATTAGGGCTCAATGAAGATAAGATTAATAATGCTAATAGCATACTAATAAAATACCGCTAATATGTCTAGCACCAACATTTTGAGGGTAACTACACACCAGTTCCAAATAGCTCATTTGCCTATATGCCTGTATTATCATCCCATTTCGCCCTCACAGCATCACACGAGGTGGGCCCTATTACCCCATTTTACAAAGACACCGAGACTCACAAAGGCTGTGGGAAGTTATTAGCATTGAAGAACACATTCCTTTTCTGTTTAGGCAAAAGTATTTCCTATTTCTCCTCACGTATTTTATATTTCCTAACGCTTCACTTCACTGCCACACTGAGTGAAAGAGGGGAAGGAACTATGATTCACTGCCCCCTGTGTACTATTATTTTATAATAAAACTAGAGACCCAGTGCACGAAATTCCTGCACAGGTAGGGTCCCTAGGCCTAGCCGGCAATCAGGGCCGATTGGGGCCTTCCAGCTGCTGGCTGGGGCCTTCCTTCGTTCCACGCCGCCCCCTGGTGGTCAACGCACATCATAGTGAGAAATTGAACTCCTGGACTCCCGTGAGGTCACTTTGCATATTAGCCTTTTATATATATAGATGAATGAATGGCCATACTCTAATAAATGAGATTAATCGAAGACCACATGTGTGTTGTGGGGTTTTTTTCATATGAGATTCTAAAACAAGAAACTTTTTTCCATTAATTTGAAAATTGGTTTGGGTTTACTCGCTTGAGTTTTGGAATACAGAAATTCAATATAAAAGATGGCAGAGACCTTCTTCATACAGGATGTGTAACCTTGGTCAAGACCCTTAACCTCTTTTTAGTCCTTGTTTCTTCATTTCTAAGCAAGGGGGTGGCTTCCTCCTGCACAGATCACCCGAGATTACACACTAAAAGCACCTAACTCTGGCCTGGAACACAATAATATTTGTTTAAAAACTGGCCTAGCCGAAACTGGTTTGGCTCAGTGGATAGAGCGTCGGCCTGCGGACTCAAGGGTCCCAGGTTCGATTCCGGTCAAGGGCATGTACCTGGGTTGCGGGCACATCCCCCATTGGGGATGTGCCGGAGGCAGCTGATCGATGTTTCTCTCTCATTGATGTTTCTAACTCTCTCTCTCCCTTCCTCTCTGTGAAAAACCAATAAAATATATTTAAAAAATAAAAAAGTAAAAACTGGCCCAATTCTCAAAATTAGGAACAGAGAACACAATAACTTCTGGGATGTAATGTACAGCATGGTGACTAAAGTTAATAACACTGTATTGTATATTCCAGAATTGCTAAGAGAGTCGATCGTAAAAGTTCTCATCACGAGAAAAAAAAATTGTAACCACTTGTGGCGATGGATTAAGTTAAGTAAACTTACTGTGGTGATCAGTTCACAATATATACATATATCAAATCATACAATGTTATAGGTCCATTATTCTATATAATAAAAGGGTAATATGCAAATTAACCAAAGGGCGGAATGGCCAGTCGCTATGATGCGCACTGACCGCCAGGGGGCAGACACTCAGTGCAGGAGCTGCCAACTGGTGGTCAGTGCACTCCCACAGGGGAGCACCGCTCAGCCACAAGCCAGGCTGACGGCTGGCGAGCACAGCAGCCCACCTCCACGGCAGCGCTAAGGATGTCCGACTGGCTTAGGCCCGCTCCCCATGGGCCTAAGCCATCAGTCAGACATCCCCCGAGGGCTCCAGGACTGTGAAAGGGCACAGGCCAGGCTGAGGACCCCCCAACCCCCACCCCATTGAGTGCACAAATGTCATGCACCGGGCCTCTGGTATTTCAATAAAATTAGGGGAAAGAGAACATAATACATTTTTTTCTTAAAATGTTTAAATGGTATATAATGACAAGTTAAGATATGGGCTACTGGGTAGGGCCTGGGGTTGAAGTATAGAGAGGAAAAATAGGAGTGGGCTGAGAATTAAAAGAGAAAAAAGAAAGAAAAAGGAAGCGACTGGGTGGCAGAGAGATGAGGGAACAAGGAGAGAAGGATGAACCACAAAGCCAGACACTCATGGGAAGAGCAGGGTTGGGGAGAGACAAGGACACACTCAGGCCAACCACCCACAACACCTCCACTCTGCACATGCTCACTCCCTCCCTTGGCCTCACACCTTCCTTCACACCCTGTAAACCACCAACCAGAAAGTTAATCATTGCTCCACTATTCGAGGGAAAAGGAATCAAAAACCTCAGGAGGAGCTGACAGTCTCCCAGTGGGGTCCTAGCACCCCCAAGGATGGTCTGTAAACAAGTCTACTGGCCTTAGGCCAAAAGAGAAACATCCAGAAAAGGTGATGTGGATACCTAGTTGAAGTAAAGTTGCCAAAGTGTCCTTCATTCTGAGCTTACGCCCTATTTCATCCTCTCTTTTATGAAATAACTAGAGGCTCGATGCACAAATTCGTGCACGGATGGGGCTGATCAGGCGGGCTGGCAGGGGTGACACGGGCAATTGGCTGGCCGGCCCCGCCCCCTGGTCGAATGGACAATTTGCATATTAGCCTTTTATTATATAGGAAAGGAGGATGGTGATGGTGAACAGCCACAGCATTTTTCCTTAATTGCTCAATTTTTTGTCCTTACTCAGCAAAAGTAAAACTTGATGACCTTAGCCCAAGCTGGAAGACTCAATTGGTTGTGGGCTCGATTCCCATTCAGAGCACACACCTAGGTTGTGAGTTCAATCCCCGGTTGGGGAAGGTATGGGAGGCAACCAATCAATGTTTCTCGTCTCTCCCTCTTTCTCTCTCACTCTAAAATCAATTAACATACCCTCGGGGGAGGATTTTAAAAAAAAGTTGATGACCTTCTTGGGTCCTTTTTGAGGTGTTATGGGCCTGTGAAAAGGAACCTCTGAACTATGCAGACAGGCTGGGCAGGCAGCGAGAATGTAGGAGGAGGTGATGCAAAGATAAGCCGGACGGGAGAGGGAGCTGACCAGAGGATTACGTGGCTTGAGGATGGAAGGACATGCGTGTGAAGCTGGGCCAGGTTCAGTCCAGCTGGAGGAAATAAGGTAAGTGAAGGGGAGCCAGGCATGCGGCAGAGGTGGGCGGGCAGCCCGGGGAGGCCTTCTGCACACGCTCAGGAGTTTGAACTTCACGGGAAAAGTAATGGGGAAGCCGTGGCTGTGGGTTGGGGGGAGACAGATGCCCGCAGCAGTGGTGTGGCTCACACAGAGAGAGGAGCTCGATAAGGAGGGCTGTTGTCAAATGCGCTCCCAGAATAGGATGGCCAGAGGGTTTAGATGACAATACAGGGTGGGCAAAAGCAGGCTCACAGTTGTGAGTCCGTGAAACAGCGTTTATTCTTGTATTATTATTCATTAACGAGAGGCCCGGTGCATGAAAATTCATGCAGAGGAGGGGGGGTCCCTCAGCCCAGCCTGCCCCCTCTCACAGTCCGGGAGCCCTCAGGGGCGGGAGGCGACCTGGCGATCAGGGGAAGGTGATGCCCCATCACACCTCTGCTGCTGCC